TACCTCCCCCCACACCCATACCCACCTTCCTTCCAATCCAAATTCCACTCATCTTATAGCACTAAGCTTGTCTCCCATCCTTCTAGAAGCCTTCCCTAATGACTAGCCCGACCGTGACCTCTCTCTCTCTCTCTCTCTCCTCTGATCTCCTTGACCATAATTTCTGTGATCCATTATTTGGCACTCCATTATAGACTATTTTGTACTGTCTTCCCATTATTTCATGCCTGTATTTATAGTCTGTCTCCCCAACTAGATAGCAAGCTCCTCCAGGGCAGGGGCCTTCTTTGTCTTTGTCTCTCTTTTCCCTTTTTGTCTAGCACAATGCTGTTGTGCGTGATAAACACTGGATGATGCTTTGACTGAAGGACAGATGTTGCTGTATGGATTTTGAAGGTTGTGTCTACCTGATGCCAAGACAACTTGTTGAAAAGTGAATAATTCTGTTATCTGGTATTTTTTCCCTTTTAAGTCTGTGCGACTGGTTTCTGTGATTTTTGTTTTCCCACTGAATCACAGAAGTGTTTGGGGTGGACATGCTAGAAGTCTGATTTCTTGGAGAAGAATCTGTTAAGCAGGTTCCTCCTTGACTAAATTGTCCTGGGATTCAGACCTGCTGCAGTCAAACAAGTTGAGCTATCTGGGAGTGGGGTTTCAGCTGAATCCTAGACGGAAAAGGAACTCTAAGCTAAGATTCGTGCTTCTGATAGACATTGGAGCTGCCCTGTCCACTTTTTCTTTCCTTCTGATGATAGGGCTGTGGGGTAGGGCAAGGATGGACTTTCCACTCATGTTTCTGAACTTTATAGACTGATGGGTTCAGAGAATATTAGCACTGGAAGGGACCTTAGAGATAATTTAGTCCAATCCCTTCATTTCACAGATGAGGATGCTCAAGTTTGCCAAAGGGAAGTGACTTGTTCAAGGTAACAGAGACAGTAATATTTTCTTGGGCCCTAAGTGAATGCTAAGCCTACCAACATGCATTATATACTGATTTTGAAAAGAAAAAAAGGTCATGTCAAATCCATCAGTCCTAAGGAATCTGCTTCATTGTGTTTCTAGATACTTTGTGAATGGTAGGGGAAAATAAAAAGTGGGTATCCTAGCATTAGGGAAATGGCATGTCTTAAGGAGGCAGTGTGGTTGATGCAGGGCAATGAGCCCTAGACTGAAAGTGAGATCTGGGTTTTATCCCTAGATCTCTCACTTACTAGACCTCCAGAGGCCTGGAAAAATGAATGAGGAAGAAATGAGGAAGGCTAAATTGACTAACTGTCCTTTGGCAGACAACCTAGTAAAAGGTTAGTAGGGGAAGAGGGCTGAAGTTATTGACTAACATGAGAACTGGAGCTGTCCATTGGTTTTCTCAAGGCCTGCTATTGCAGGTTACTTAGTGCTTCAGATGGTGCTTGAGTAGAAGGGTATGGAGCCTGTAATATAGATAGCACCTGTACGTATTTATTAATTTTGTGTGTATATGTGTGTGTGTGTGTGTGAAAGAGAGAGAGAGAGAGAGACAGAGACAGAGAGAGAGAGAGAGAGAGAGAGAGAGAGAGAGAGAGATCCTATTCCATTTGAGTGGCAGAAATTCTGACACAGGCAACGGGACTACAGTTCCAGTAAATGTTGGCAGCGCTTTCTCCTTTTTCCTCCATTAAATAATAGATACTGGACTATGTGTCTCATGGGCCTCCATAGGTTCTGTTCAAGGTGTGGTATTGTTACCTGCCCAGGCTAAAATGATAAACCAAAGCTAACAAGATGACATTTAACAGGGATAAATGTAAAGTTCCACATTTAATTTCAAAAAATCAATAGCACTAGGACCAGATGCGGAACTGTGGCTATACAGCAGTAGATATGAAAAAGACCTGGGGGTTTTAATGAATTGCAAGCTACTTTGAGTCAGTTGTATGATGTGTGTCCCCAAACCTCTAATGCAATCCTAGGTTTTAATAGAAGTATCCAAAATGCATAAATGATTGTTTTACTGTTCTCTGGCATAGGTAGACCGTATCTGAAAGTTTCAGATTGTGGGAACTAGCTTTTAGTAGAAAATGGACAAACTCCAGAGGTTCCAAAGGCTGGTAATACAACAGTGTGGACTCAAAACCATGTCATCTGAGGGTGAGTTGAAGTAACTGACAATGCTTCATTTGGCAAATTGAAGGTTTGGAACTGGGGATTTATTATCTGTCTCAAATATTGAAAGGATTGTAATACAATTGAGGGAATAGACTTCTATGCTTAATTCAAGAAGGTAGAACTAGAATCATTGGAAGGAGGAAGTCATGGAGTTGGGGGATGGAGGAGAAATTATAGGACAGTAGATTTTAGTTCAATAGTAAAAAAAAAAAAACCTTTCCAATAACTGGAGATATCCAAAAATGTGTTGGGCTACCTCGAGAAGCAATGAATGTCCCATCTCTGAAAGTCTTCAAGGAAAGGCTGGATGACCAATTGTCAGAGATTATGTAGAGTCATGCTTTGGATCTGATGACGTCTGTGGTACCTTCCAACTCTAGAATTAGATTAATTCATGAAGGCCATGAAAACTGGAAAGGCCGCTGACAGGTCAATGAGTCTAGCAGCTTGCCCCTGAGTAGGACCTCATCTAAACCCTCCCAGATGGCTTGAAATGCTATGTATGTAGATCCTCCTTTGTAAATAATGTCAAGGGAACAAAGTTTGTTTTCCACACCTCCCTTTTATAATGTTCTCTGATCCTCTAGACATCTAATCAGACTCCCACAGATACTTAAAAAGACGGGAGGCTGAGGAGTGAAAAAAAGAAAAAAGAAAGAGACCACCAGTAATTAGCATTGAGACCAAAAAAGAAGAAAAAGAAGGAAAAAAAGCTAACTAGCTATATGACCTTGGGCAAGCAGTTTGCACTAGATAGTTTCTAAGAGTCTTTTAGGCACTAACATTATTTGATTCTTAAGTCATCACCAGGATTCATGATGCCTATGAGAGCTAGTATCCCCTGATGAGGACAGCAGCCAACAGTTGAATAAGAATTTTCCACGTAGGTGTGAATGTATGAAGGGCATTAGCATCCTGTTGATCTTCTGGCATTAGTCACAATTGTGTCTTCTAGAGCTTTCTGTTTGGTGAATACAGGGGCTCTTCCATGCAGTACCCACTATAGGTACATGTGGATATATATATACACTCATTGTCTATAGGTGTTGTGTGACTCATGAAGCTGATGGTGTACCTACTGTAGTGTGCAAATTTAGCTTGTCACTTATGTGGGAGCTTCACATGCTGGGTTTTTGTTTTTGTTTTTGTTTTTTTGTACACCTGTGCTGGGGTTTGGCATATCTCCTTGTGCATGAGAATGGTCTGTATGTGTGTCCTTGTGCTTGAATCTATGTCTGTAATAGACATGTGTACACACATATCTGTGGGCAATGATTTCATAGCCTCATCTGGAACCAGGGTGAACACATGCAAAATGCTCTCTTTCTATGTCTATACATGGAATGCCTATGTAGGTATCTCTCTGAGGGTGCTGTGTGAATGGATAGTCCTATGCTCTGGGCATGGGTGCCTGTTAGTCAAACATGTGTCTGCTCTGTGTGCATGGCTGGGATTTATATGTACATGTCCTTAGGAAGTATGGTAAAGTGGATAGAAGGCTATTCAGGGATGCAGGCACCTGGGTTCTAATTCTGCTTTTGACACTTGCTAGCTGTGTGACTCTGGAGAAGTCACTTCTTTCTGGCCCTTCCTTTCTCCATCTGTATGAGGAGTGTGGACTAGCTGGTCTCTAAGGAGACTAGGATTCTCTGACCCTGTAAACATCAGAGTGTGAATGGTGGGAAATGTGCTGTGAGTACGCTTGTTTGCCTGGGGAGCTATGCATCTGTTCTTAGTCTGTGCTGTGTGCCCTATGTGTGTGTCTCTGAGAATGCCTACTTGCTGGTGTCTGTATGTAGATGCACTTTCTGTGCCTGCCCCATATATGTCTGTGTGATGGTGAGGGTGGTAATGGTGGTAGGGGATGTCTATGCCCCGCATGTCTGTATGGGCTTTCTGGGAGATGCTGTCCAATGAATGCAAAAGGTCCCCATTCTTTCGCTCTCATGTTTAGGGGTGTCAAGCATCCTCTGTGCATCTGTCTGTGGAAATTGTATGCTTCACATATTCACGAACGTATATGTCCCAAGTACATCAGTCTATACTCCATGTGCAAGGTTGTATATACACCTGTGTGCCTAGTGGCCACTCACGCCTGTGTTCTGTGTGCACAGCATGGCCATATGTGTATTGTACTCCAAGTGCCTGAGCCCGCTGTGTGTACGTGTATATGTGCACCCCGAGGGCACGTTTGTGTGCGATTCGAGTGTGCACTCCGCCCACTGCCCGCCAGCTACGACCCGAGGCGTACCCCACCCCCCCGCAGTGATGCCCCCTCCCCCCGCCTCTCTGGCCGCCCTGATTGGCCGCCCCCTCGGGCCTCTCCACCTCTCCCCCAGCCCCTTTCTCCCTCCCTCCCCGTCCCCTCCCCTCCCGCTCCATCCCTGTCACCGGTGGAGCCGGCGGCGGGTCCCCGGCGGAGCCTGCGCTGCGCTCGGCTCCCATTGGCTGCCCTCGCCTTTGTGTGCCGGGCAGCTGCGGCCCCAGCCCCGCATTTGAATGTATAGAGGGGGATTGGAAGGGAACATTTCCATGGGCCATCTGTCTCTTCGCCAGCCAGCGCTGCCGCCGCCTCAGCCTCCGCAGCCTCCGCCCCGCTGCTGCCTCCGCCACCATCCCCTCTATCCCCTCCGTCCCCTCCATCCCCTCCATCCCCTCCATCCCCTTCATCCCCACCTCCTCCTCTACCACCTCCTCCGCCTCCTCCTCCTCCGCCTCCGCCTCCACCAGCGCCCGGGAGCAGCGCAACAAAGGGACCCCGCGCAGCAGCCGCGAGAGCAGCCGCCGCCGCTGCCGCCGCCGCCGCCGCCGCCGCCGCCGCCGCCGCCGCCGCCGCCGCCCCAGCTTCCAGGATGGTCCTAGTCCACGTAGGCTATCTCGTTCTTCCAGTATTTGGCTCTGTGCGAAACAGAGGTATCGCTTTTTCATTTCGGGGTCTGCTTTGGAGCTCGGATCGCCGTGGGCATGGGGGACGGGGAATGGAGGGAGAGACCTGGGTGCTGCAGCTGGTGGGGAGGGAGGGCTTTTGCAAGAAAGCAAGGTCTAGCCCTCTTTTTTGGGGGGGACCCCCTGAGTGTGGGGAGCCTGCTCCCTTGAGATCTATTGTAAGGAAGTTGGGGTTTGGCTGACACGGATCTTTCCCTCCCCCTTCTTTCCCTCCTTCCTCCCCCCTATTTTTTTTAATCCTTTGCGGCGGACTTGGTTCCCCCAAATCGCCCCCCCCTTCCCAGATGCCTAGATGCTCTAAAGAGGGAGAGAGACCTGATTGTGTGTGTACGTGTGTGTCTGTATGGAGTGTTTGATTTTTATGTAGCAGTGTGGGCTTCACAATATTTTATTTTGAGGTGTGTGCTCTGTTTAATTTGTATTTTTTGTCATTAATACCAGTGGCTGATCGCTGTTTAACTGGGATCTGTGGCTCTCTCTCCTTGCACTCCCCTACCCCACCCCCCAACCTCTTGTGGGCAGTAGCATGATCTCTCTTTCTCTCTCTTTCTCCCCCTCCCCCTCCTCCTTTTAAACCTTTTTGTTTGTTTGTTTATTGCCTCTGTGTTGTGCTATCCCCTTCCCGCAATTGTCTGAAACCGCTTTTGCTGTGAAGACGGGTTAAAAGATTCTTGGCGTGGTGTGGTGTGGTTGCAGTATGTGTGTGTATGTGTGCGTGTGTGTGTGTGTGTGTGCGTGCGTGCGCGCTCGTGTGTGTGTCCGTTTGACTTGGAGAGAGCTAGACATGTATTTCTGTTTTTCCCCGTGCCAGACTTGATCTGTATATTTGGTCCTTTGGGGATTGCAACCGTGTGTGAGGTTCAGGCTAGAGATCACCTCTCTGGCCAGGAGTCCTCCCCAACGCCATACATTTGCCACCGGGAGACAGTTACAAAGCAGCAGGCTGGCGGTGGGGGTTTTGTTTTTTAAATATGTGCTATGGGATGTGTTTGCACGGATTTCCCTCACATTCCCTTTCCCTCACATTCTGCTACAACAATAGGCTTGATTTTTTCCCCCCTTTCTTTCTCCCCCCACCCCATTTCTTCCATTTTCTTTCAATCAAAAACAAAAACAAAAACAAAAACAAAAACTGAAACAAACAAAAAACCCCCGAACCACCACCCAGTATTCATTTAGATTCTTTTTTTCCTTTTTTTTTTCTTTTTTCTTTTTTGGTATTCTGCCTTTGGATGCACATTTCTCCCCTTGGAAATGTTTCTTCTCCCTTCTCCACTCCACATTTGCCTGAAATCCCCACTGGATAATACCACACTAAAACAGAATGATGTCTACCCATGCAGACTCGCTCTTCTCTCAGTCAGCATTCCAGGTGGGGGTGGCCATACGCTAGTGCAGTGGGTTCCCCCTTGAAGATTGGCTGCCCTAGAGCCTTAAGTGAGCGTTAAAATGGAGACCCAGCCCTGATACAGCCAGCCCAGCCGCCAGTTCACTCACCCTCACCCTCATCCCCTGCCCCTTGTCCCCCACCTCCACCCCTCAACTCCTGGTGTGCCCAGAACGACTAGGTTGGACCGTAGGCCTGTTTGAACCGCAGTTTCTTGTGTGATGATAGAATGATGACATTCTGCATTTATCAAATCTTTTTTTTTTCTTCATTGTGTAGCACAGTGAATGGTCAACTTGCTGCTGTGTGCGCTGTGACCCTTCTGCCTCCGCATTTAGCTGTATTGTGACACCCCTCTTAACCATTTCCTGTTTCCATCTGAGGAAGGCATTGCTATTTAAGCTGCAGTATCCCCTATCTCAGGCCTGCCTGTCAATTAGAGGGAGAAAAAAAAAGGGCGGGGTAGGGTTAGGTGGTGGGGTAGAGAGGAGATTTTTCAGAAATGTTAATCCCCCCCCCTTTGTTTAAGCTTATCTTCCTATTACTTGCCATTTCCTCTTTTAGGGGTGTGGGACTGTACGCTCGGCAGAAATTCAAACATGATTAAGAAGGATGTTGAGCCTAAAAGTATAATTATAATTATCCTGATTAAATCATTATCATACTCATTAATACCACCAGATCTTTAAATGTCATTTCAGAAGACAAGATACAATTTCATGGCTTGAAATTCAAATTGCTTTAGCTGCTTTAAAAAAAAATATTTATATATATATATATATACACATATACATATATATATATATATATATATATATTTACTTGCCCCTTCTTTGGTCCTCTCCTTCCCCCAATTCCCCCCCCTCCAAAAAACAAACAACATTTACAAGTCACTCAAAGTTCTACTTTCCTGGTGTACACACTTCCCCTCAGAGGAGCTGTAAGCAGCAAAGGGGTGTGTGAGACTGTGGGCAAAATTTAGCATGATGTGCTAGGAACTCATGACCTTCCGATAGAGGATACTAATGCTTAAACCAACGAAGTCCTAAACCACAATCTTCTTGTAAAACTATTAGAGAGACTGTTAGCTTAAACCTGTTCTCTTTAGTTTCATTGTAGTAGTGTAGGAAACAGGCCATTTCAGAATAGCTGTAGAGAAATAACAACCATTTTTGTATCTTCATCTTGTTTAGCTAAGTACATTGCACTGTAAATTCCTGTTAAGTGGATTCATTTTGCTTTAGGTTTGGAGGCTGCGGTATCTTATTTTTCCAGTTATCTGGGTAAACATCGGCTTGCCTTGCAGCACCCAGGCATAACTGAACAAATTACATTTGGTCGGAGGCCAAAAAAAAAAAAAAATTAAATTCTTCAATTTAATGTCATTTGTTGCCATTCCAGAGCCTCTAGAAATTTGGTAGACAGAGGTTCCTGGCCTAAGGGGAGTGATTGCCACAGTTCCTTAAATATTGAGAACTAGTGCATCTTTGGACATTACATGTCATGCAGCCCTGGCCCTCAGTGCTGCCCCTTTAACTGTTGGCTACCATCTGTTCCCAAAAGCCAACTGCATGCCGGATGAACTGTCTTTAAAAACCCCTGAGACAAAAACAGTTACCACAGAATGGGGCCCCTGATTCGGGGTCCCTCTGAAATCACAAACCCAGAGAACCTTCCAATCTGGCAAATTTGGCATTTCATGGAAGGTGAAAAGGGGAAAAGAGTTCCCGGCAAAATGGGTTTCCATTCAACAGGGATAGCGTGTTCTGCTGTGCTGAATTACTTCCTGTTCTTATTTTGTGGGGTAATTTTTTCTGTATCAAATATCCTTTTGGTTGTGTATCTTTTTCACCTTTTCTTGTACTAAAACTAAAGCATGATCTGTATTTTTTTACATTCCCCAGTTGACAATGTAAATCGCTCGGTTAGAGACGTTACCCTGCTGAAATGTAATGTGGTCGTGTAGCCTGGACCATCTGCTCATTGTACGCTGCTTTTGTTCTGTTGCCCTTCCGAAGCATGGTGGGCCCGGCCTTTTTTTTGTATTGTGTGCATGACAACATTGTTACACACAGAATCCACTAATACTAATATACGAATCTCTCAATAAAGAAACTAGTTTTCCTATATTAACCTAGTGTGCTTTTTCTCTTGCTGTTTCCCCATTTATTGTCGTATCCTGCTGTTTAGATTTTTTTCCCTTGCTTTTCTATCCCCACCCTCACCTACTTCCACCCCCCCCATTGTAAGGTTTGAGTGAATGCCTTTTTTTTTTTTGGTTATAATAGATATGGTGACTTTAATCTCATCTACCCCATATCTCTTTCCATTAGCAGTCTGGGGCACAAGGATAAAAATCCTGCATCCCGCAAAGGGGGGTGGGGGTGGTCCACATCCACTGGGCTCTTGGCATAGTCCTCTCCTACTGTGGAATGAATGGCTCACTTGGGTACACACCTTATCCTTAGCTACTGGGGAGTGCCTAAAGACTACTCCTCATTACCCTTTAATTCCCTAGTAATGTGGGTGTCAGGATTAGGATGCTGGTAATCTAGGAGCCAACACCAAATGAGAGAAAAGGGATACAGTGCTAAAGGACTATTTGTTTGTTTAAAACTTTACTTCCTCTCCTGTATGTACAATGGTACCCATAATAGAAATTTGTGTCCTAGTCTAAGCAGGAAGAGTCGAGGTGAGATGTTCAGTGTCCCCGAGGTTAGCATCACTTTCTGTGAAATAGAAACTTACCACAGCCACATAAACATATATATATGTGTGTGTGTGGATAGATGTATATTAAAAGTAGTTGAACTCTGAGATAGAAACATTGCCTTAGAATTCCTGGTCAGCAGGTTCTTCAAAACAGAACCCTGTTTTGATTCAAGTTAAACAGCAGGACCAAGGATGGTGGGAATAAGAGCACTGCTCTTCTGAGCTGTCTTTGTTTGACAGGGATGTGCCAGAGGTGCTGCTGCAGCCTATTTCCCAGATCCCCAGTGGCCAAAACCATTCCATACCAACAATGAAAATTGGTTAAACTGTGGCACTTGCAACCTGGTTAAAAAAAAGACTTCTGACCTCTGTCATTATCTTAAGTAGATTTTTCTGGGGGGAGGGAGGGGAGGAAATCAGGACTCCCCGCCTCCAAAAAGAGATTCCCCTTTAAAAAATGCACATGTATTGTACAGGCATTTGAAAAGAAAGTAGTGAAATGCTTTTTTCCTCTCTTCCAAAGTGGAAACCAAATTCAAGCATTTGTCAATTACACCTATTCAATTTCTAGCCCTGAACAAGCCTTGTTAAATGAGGCGTGTTAGATACCAATGACATCAGTTGATTAAAGAAATTCACGGTTGCTTCAAATGGTCCTTTTGGAGAGCCATATCATTTTGCAAGGCAGTGCCTCCTCGCTTCCTCCAAGCCGTATCCTGAGTTTTCCTCTTCCATAATCCTTTTCCATGTATCTGGCCATCATGTCCCTCCTATGTGATCACACACAACACTCTTCTCTCTCCCTCTTGGTGTAATCTCTGCTCTGGCCCTTTGTTCTCTCGCTAGCCTACCCTATTCCAGATTGGGA